AAGTGGCTCACCATTCAACAACAGCTGGAGGAGTTTCACTTTCCTTTGGGCGCGAGTGTTCGACATCTTTTCGCAAGCTGCCTATATGCAGATAAAAAGGCATGTATGTCAGTACATATTTGTGTGTGGAGAGTGCAAGTTGCGGCTTTTGGCTGCAGCTCATCTGCTCGCTGTCGCAGCGCATAAAAATCGAAAGTTTCTGTCGCATGTTTTTGCCCTTTCGCAGCTTTTGTTTTTTTCGCGTTGCAGCTTTCATTGCAACGGCGGACGTGATAGTAACTTCTTTCGACACCGTGTCCTTGCAGCATATTTTTCGGATCTTCATTACTCATATGAGGTTTTCATGCATATACCTATTTATACAGATTTTATTTGGTCGGCCTCCACTCACCATTTGAAATTTAAGTTTTTTGTTGTAACTTATTTATGTTATTGTTTGGATTTTCCGGAGCTAACGAGATTGCAACACCCACAAATTATATATAAGAACTTGCGCATGTGTACTTTATATACAAATGTGTGAAATTTTCACCTATAACGGTATTTACTGACACAGATGAAAAAGAACAAGCGTCACATGTATGTATGTATAAGATGATACAATTACAGGACTGGTATAAGATTAACTCCGTTTCGGTTCATTGTAAGTGCTTTTAAGGTAGTCCGAATGAAGTGCGATATTACGTCATATCATTATAATAATCATATCATAGATTCTTTCCGTTCGATTTCAACCCGCTTAAGCACCAATAAATTGAATTCGTTTCTCCTCAAAATCTGTCACACCACGTCGAATTAGATCACATTATATCACTTCACATCATATTACCATAACATCGATTCACCTCACATCGCACCACCTAACTTTGTACCATGTCACGTCACATCATAACAAAACATATCACATCAACATCATCTGATAACTCGTTTCTCTATAAATTGTGGCACGCAAACACATCGTAACATCTCGTTTCTTTCAAAAATATGTTACATATGAATCACGTAATATAATATCATATCAAAATATGCAAATAATTATTATAATAATTTGTTCAGGCCTTAAATCGACTTCGCGACATCTGGATAATCGTATTACAATGCCATTCACTGGGAAAATATTTATTGTAGTATGTAGATACATACGTACATTGTATAAAGTTATACACGGAATAAACCCACTGGAAATCATCACACTTGTATAATATGGATAGATAATTCGAGTTTCATCAAAGGGAAAATGTATGCTTAATTTAGCCCACAATAATTTCAATGTAAAACACTGCCCTGTTTTAAGTGCTATTGGCCAAAATGTAGTTATTTTATCTAAGACTAATATTTTCACCTAATGAGTGTACCATAAATAACCTATCTTATTTCGAAATTTTTATATTTGCTTAATTTGGTATAAGCACAAATACGATACTCAAAAACTGAGTAGAAGGAAATACCAGATAAAATTTAGTTAATAATAATAAAAAATTTAATACCAGATCCATAAAAATCATATAAGAATTATATATGAACAACAAATAATTGTTTCTTCTTCTAGTTGTGGTGTCGTTTGACTGATTTGAAAAATCTAATTTTACATCCGAAATTGGTGATATTAAGAAAAGTTTTTATAATTGCAGAATCTGTCTTGAAGAGAACTTGAAACCATGAACTTACGTTTAATTATTTGTCACAACTTCTCAATTCTGTCCCTTTATGACTCGTAAGAGCTACATACTTTGCAAAAAAGGAACTCAGTTCACAAATTTATGCCGATAGGTGCATAGTAATGCAACATCCGCAAATTATTCAAATGACTCGCGATAAATATCAATTTAGGCGAAAATAAAGTTATTCGCGATTTCCTGTGAAATAGACGTGTGAATCATAATATAGTATGCATAGACATACATAGGTACATAAATGTATATGAATATAAGTGTTAAATGTGAAAAGCTAATACTCATGGTAAACTTAATTTTACGAAATATATTAGAGTAACAAACAATACTCAAAAGAGCCCAACATCAGACGAAACATAAGTAAATTAATAAAAAACGAAATGGCTGGCCGCAGGAATAAAAAAGTTTCCTCAATAGCCATCCATTTTTGATAATAATAAAAACAGCAAAAGGAAATCAAAATTTGTATAACAAAACTTCATACAAATTGAAGATAAACCCTACAACAAAACTATAAAACAATAAATCACTTCAAAATACATGTGTCAAAACTGTAATCTACAATCTATTGAATTCCCATCTCGAGATTTTGTTCGCCGTTATTATATTCTCTTTGATGTTGCAGCCACATAAAAGTAAGCAGCTCACATTTCGTCCAACGCGTTGCGCAGATGAACTCGAGTGCCCTAGAATTATAATCGTGCAACTTCAGCTGAAGGGACAAGTTATGCCTTAATAGTTCTTAGTAGTTCCCGCTTATGAGGTGCGAAATTCACTGTGATTTCCATTCATACCCTAAAAACTGCTTTCAGGAAGATAAAAGAGGATGAGTTGAAAATTTAGTTTCCAGGAAGTAGAGGACTTCCTCTTCCTAAGTTAAAGATTTAAGTCAAAATAGAATTCCATATCTCTAATGTGGCACATTTGGCTGCGAAACATGATATTTTTTTTAACCTTAAGCTAATGTCTGCTTTGATCGGGGATCTTAGATCTTGCTAGTTGGACTAGTTTAAGTTTAAGATTTCATCGTCTTTACGTTCTCGTTCTCACATTTGCCTAAATAAGACTTCTTGTGATTCCTTACATAAATGTTAAGGTAATAAATCAACTGGAGAACTTCATTGTGAATCTGAGTATAGTATATGGGAGAGTACAGTTAATGCTCATTAAACGTATGTAGAGAGATAATAACTAGATAACTATTCCTAGCATATTTACAATAGATAGTGTGACTACCTTCATAACGGTATTTTTGCCGATTTCTTAAAGTATAAAAATAATTTAAAAAAAAAAAGTCTTTCATCAAAAAACCGATATGTGATGATCAATGACATTAATGTTATTTATTATTACAAAATATATTTCATGCAACCCACCAGAGTCCAGCCGACATAATAATAAAGTTACATGTCAAAAAGAGGTAAATGTGACGCATAAATAAAATAAATATATACAGGGAAAGAAGAAGCGCCTCTAAAGCAAATATTAAATCACATGACCGCGAAGACAAGAAGGAAGTAACACGGTGGCATTAGCACAACCGGCAATATAGCAAGGTATTGCATAGCAAAGCGGTGTACCAACCAGTTTCTGGTGGCAGGTAGCTGTGTTGCAAGATACCGCCCGGTGCGCTGGTTGCAACAAGGTGCACGAAACGTAGCACGTTGCCAGTGACTAAAAGCACAATACCAGCAACCCGTCAGCTGAGCTGAATAGTGACCACAAAATTTAATAACTTCCAGCGATGGTGGTCAACTTCATTTTCATTTCCAGTTGAAGTAACAGCACCTACAGCCACAGCCACAACGCTAAACTGTAATAACGTGCAACACAAAATCTATAGTGGCTACCAACTGCAGAAAGTGACCGCAGCAAAAAAGTAACAACAACAAATTTTACCACAAACGTTTTGTGCAGCAACCGATAAGCCAGTCAGCGCCGGTAGGTGCAACTTGAAATTTTTGTTATGTCGCAAGCGAAAAATGCAATTACCAACGAAAATGAACAGTCGGCCGCACGAAGATGATTACATAACAACAGAAATATGCTTGCCACATTGACAAATGCCACCCGCGGGGATGGGTAGTTGCAGAGGCAACTGGTTTTAGATACTATTTGGAAGAAGAAAAGTACGAACCTCAAAATGACTCAGAAATGAAAACAACAACAAAAAATATGTCAAACAACTCGAAGGTACACTTGCAACAGCCGCATGAAAATGATTAAAAGTCACTTAAATGCAGCCGCAGGCCACGGATCGAAAGGAAAAGTGATCCGGAATACAGTGCAAAGAGCAAGTGTGAAATGATCACAGCTGTATATGTAGGTACAGTGATGCGCAAACCACAGAAGTAAGGTGCTAAGGTAAGGTGCAACCACAGAAATTTCCTATTTCAGACCCTCGTGACAATTTAGCGTGTAAAAACCACACCACAGATGATGCAAACCGGTTATCTACACTCTACCCTTACACTTGACAACGCACATGAGAGCACGAGAGAGAACGAGTGAGAGTACAAATATCTCCAGGTAACTTGACTTCATCGCAATGCAAACGAAAGTGAAACTACTCAATGTGTCTCTGTAAAAAAAAAAATTTAGTCTATAAAAAATCTTGTAACAATACAAACTTGTTTCTGAGCGAGCCGTTACTCGCTCGGCGGTGACTTAACCACGCGCCAACGAAAGAAGGCCCACAAAAGCAAGTTCACAAATAAATGTCATCGTTTGCCGGTTTTCTCAAGCACTCTCTCTCTCTCTCTCTCTCTCGCTCCCAACATCAACACATTTTAAGCTCGCTTTTCTGCCTTCCCGCATGCTGACTACCAATTTTGTGTTACAGCGCATGCGTGCGCACCGTCAGTCGGTGAGACATGTAAATTGCGAGAAATTTGCATGTTACGAGACCAGCAAGTCAACGAAATGGAAAATATTTCACCTTTTCAGAGAAAAATATTGCAAAACTGGTTGTCATTGTGGGCTTACTCATCTCTACTATGAGCTTGCTGCGGTCCAGCTAAAGCTATAGCCCAGAGTCCCTGTCTGCGCTCTTAACATTGTTAGCATTACTTGCATTTATGTATTAGCGCTTTTGCGGTTTCGTTTATTTGTTTAGCGTACACACTATTTGGTTATGCTGGCTCACGCTTCACGTTGTGCTACCACCAGTGATATACGGAACGCCACCTGTGGCACAGTGTAGTGAAAAGAGAGACTGAGGATAAAGAAACATTATTTTTACTAAACGTCGAAATGTGGAAAAGATGTTTTCGAACTGTTTGTTATGTCCCAAAGTAAGTTCCATAGAAAATGTTATTGACTTATTCAATTAGTATGTACAAGTATGTAACTACAGAGAGCTGTAATGCGTCATGCGACAGATGGATGAAACAATTTGAGAATTGACACAAAGTTTAACTTTTAAAAGAAAAGGATTTTTTGGTTATGAATGATAACAATATTCAGTGATGAAAATAAGATGAAATCGTCAATTAAACAAACCACTAGTTAAATACGATGTTTGAACCGTCGGAATTTGTGTTAATAGATGGTACAATGATCAAAATTCTGTATTTGTCTGTCCTCAAGAAGGTCCGACATCAACCCGATTGAAAATCATATATTCCAGATACAATCTTCCATAGTTATTGCAATACAATTAGCTTCCAACTTTATTAAGTTTTATTCGATTTCTACTTCTTGCGAAGGTATGAATGTTAAACAAGGAATATCATATTTACAGCACCTTCCTCAATCATAAATACATATTGAATTGGCTTCTAATCACTAGTGATCCGAAGAGCCAACACAACGGAAGAATTATCTTTGCATATGCTCCGAAACTGAAACAAAAACTTCGCAAAGAAACAAGGAAAGCTTCTGTTGACGGATAAACTTCAAAGGAATGTTAGTATTCTGAGTTCCGGGTTAGGTTTGCATTCAAAACTTGGTAAAACCTCATCGTTTTTCTAGATTAAGATTACTTAAAGTACTTACAAGGACCATACCAAAAGCCCACTGCTACCGTAGACAGACGTCTATCACTTATGAAAATTATAGGTGGCTCAGTCAGAAATATGCTATCGAAAACTGGTGCTGAACGTCAGAAACTTTATAGCAAAAACTTGATGCGAATGTCTGCAGTAAACCCAGTGGTTAAACCAAACCTTAAGGAACTGTTTCCATAGAATGCACGAATAGATTTTAGGAAATCTAATGTAGTTACAGCTTATGGCAATAAGTCAGCATCCGTTCTCATTACTTGCGCTTTACTAACGTGAAATATATGAGACAATTTTGTCCCACTGTATCGAATTTCAAGTAATTTTTCCACTGACCGCCTTTTGCCTCTTCGACTTGTGAGCGGCTGACGAATGTAACGAACAAATATAGATAACAAAGTAACAACATAAACCGGCAGTGGCTGCTGGTCAACGATGGCGATGTCATTGTCATGAACGACTGTTGAGCGACAAAAACAGCTTGCGACCACAAGCTGCACAAGCGCTCTACAACTCTCTCACACAACTCAAACATTTTTGAAAAGATAACTTGTTCGTTAGCGCATCAAAAATGAGGAACCACAATGTATGTATGAGCAGCTGATAATGCTGCTGTCCACTGCTTAACTGAGTGACGAATACGACTGAGCAACGGTCTTTACCCGCAACTGCGTGGTTTATAGATTTGTAAGTGAAGCTTAGCAGAGACCGCGTCAGTCTTGCGGACGTTGCGCTTTGCTTATTGATTTTGGTATTCAGCGCAGCTTTCGTTACTGTTTTTGTTGATATTTGCTTGTTTTTCGTTTTTAACACTTTCAGTTTCTCTTAAGTTTCTTCTTCTTTCTTCTCCTTCTTACTTTTTGCGTTCGGCTCGAACCGAGTTGTCAGAGGTCGAGGGCGGAATTTCGCAACCGCATTCGGTGCGCTGTGGTGAGAAGACGTCACCGATTTCGACGCTTGTGAGATGCACTTTGTAAGGCCAACGCATACAGTAAGCAACAACAACAACACTGACGCAAATATTTCATGATCTTCTGTAACTAGACGTTGTCGCCGCTCAGCGCATGCGATCTGCAGCAGTGATCGTCTCAAACGTTGTTGTAGCCTTTGCTGCTTCTTTGCTAGCCGCGGGCGCTGTTGTTGACTCCGCCACTTTTCGGTTTTACAGGCGACCTGCTTGGCTTCTCTGGCTTATATTAGTAACTGATATCATCGCCTCGGCAACATTTTTAATTTGAAAGTGAAAAGCGACGGTCGTAGGCGCCTGAAAAACGCTCACACAACGAGCAGAACGACGACACAAATCGCATAGTTCGCGCAGTAGGTCGCTGGTGACGCGCGCTTCCTGGAAGCAATTACAATACAAAACCGAAATAAACAGAAAATTATAATAAATTGAAAACTGTGCCAAGTTTTCGTGAACTGAAATTAATTTCTAAAATCAAACGAAAATATTTTTAGCCTAACAGCACAGGAAACACAAGTGATTGAGGCCCGTTCGCGTTGCGCGCATCCGTTTCCGCTATCGTTATCGTTGTTGTTGCTATTGTTGACGTCGCTGTCAACGTGTGCGCTCAGTTAGCTCCTGTCAACTAGTTTGCCACTCGCTCAGACTTCTCATCGCAATCTAGATTTAGACGGAAGTTGTTAGTCTTTTCATACATATCTAAGATTGAAAAGGATACAACCACTACATCGAAACAAAAGACAACACTGAGGATTACATTGAAAATTCTACACGTGCTAAATTCACCATAAATGGTAGGCTTGAAAACAAACAAATTTATTTTTCCTTCATCACAAGGACATGTATGCATATATGTATGATATTTAGACAAATAGAAAAATTCAAAATATCAGCGAAAGTGATACTGTTGAAAATAAAAGTAAAAAATCGCGAAAATCTCAACAAAGCAGGAAGTGCAAACATTTCTGCTTGTCAAAATTTACGAAATGGCAAATATACTTGTTAGAAATGGAAATCGTTGAAAGGATATGCTCACGTCAATCAACTCACCACTTTTGTTTATGTATGTGTGTGTAAACGCGATATTTGCATTGTGAGTGTGTAGTTCTGTGAAAAAATCTTTTCGATTTTGTGCTGACAAGGGAATATGGGAAAATTAAGTTTTTTGTTGTTCACCAAAGCCTGGCAAGCTTATGTTAGTGACTTGAATTGGTTGCAAGGTGGGGAATGGAAAATTATGGAATTTAAATTTAATTGTGAAAATTACAAAAAAAAAATAAAAAATTAAATTATTCATAATTCGTCGAAAAATATCTAATTTGAATTAAAAAATATAAATAAATGAATTACTATTGCAAAGATAGCTCCAAATGAAATTAAATAAAATTTAAAAATTAAATTTAAAAAAACTATTAAATAAAATAACATGAGAGAAAAAAAAAAAGATTACATTCAGCACATAAAATAAAACAAAAAAAATTATTAAAATCAAATATAATAAAATAAAATAAAACAAAATAAACTAAACAAAAAAATTTTAACAATAAAAAATTAATCAAGTCAGAAACTTTAAACTAAATTTTCAAAAACATTTACACAATAAAATAATACAAAATAATGTATTAAAATAAAATAAATTAAATTAAGATAAAATAAAATAAAATATAAAAAATAATATAAAATAAATTATATACAATAAAAAAATATAATAGTAAAAAATTAATCAAGAAATAAACTCCAACTTAAGTTTCCAAAACCATTTACACAATAAACTAAATCAAATAATAACTTAATATTTATACCATGAACAGGGTATATTAAGTATGCCACGATGTCAGGGACCCTATGAATTATATATCAGACCGTCCGTCTGTATTGAGATATTGATCTGAAATTTTCTACCCAAGAAGCTGCTTATTTGACGGAAACGCCGTTATCGGTCCACTATAACATGCTGCCAGACAAACTAAATTATCGGTATGAAGTCCTTGTATACAAAGCTTTTCTATTTGATGAGATATCTTCACGAAATATGTCATGGGTTATTATGTTAGGCAACGGTGAAATCACCAAAGAAATTGTTCTGATCAAATTTCTATAGCATATTGCTGACATAAAAGCCGAACGATCAAAATAATGTTCCTGTAAGAAATATTTTATATTATTATAGCTTCAGTGCAATCAACAGTTTTTTCTTGTTTTAAAAATTTAAAAAAATCAGATTCCTTATAATAAGTTATGCAAACTTACACACTCTTTTAGTTTTGAAAATTTTGTACAAATTGTGACAAGCAATTATTTTGTTAACTTGACTCCAGGTTATCTGCTTTAGTGATATTTCCTAAAGTATTTTTTAAAAATTATTATTGTATCATAATTCAGAAAATTAAAGTAAATCCTGTTGTGGAGACTCAAAATAATGATTGAAAAGGAGATATTTCCCAAATTTTTTTCTTAATGAAGCAAAAAAAAGATACAATGCCATACTATTTCCGATTGTTAACTTTTGATTGTTATTAAAAATTCGTCAGTAACTCAAATTACATAAACTTGAGCCGAACCCTCAGACGGTAATTAAATGTGAATAAAATATTTAATTTATGAAAATATTTACAAAACTTAATTTCACTTCGGCAACAAAAAAAAGTTCAATCATCAGATTTCGAAAATACTAGTTTTGATCATCTTGTATTTTAATTTCTTTTCTAGCAAAGTAATTAAAACGGTATTCAAAAAATACTATTTATATTGTTAAATATAATATGTTTAAATATTTTAAAATTCAGCAACAAAAAACAATAAACGAAATTTATGTCCAAGTTTAATTCAGAAACGTCTACTCATAAAATATTTTAATGATATATTCTAAATAAAAAACGTTTAATAGTTAGCTTCATCTTTAATTTTGAAAATGTGTTCCATCTTTGCAACCCGACAGTGAATTATGAATGCAAAACAAATTTTTCTCTACATTATACTCAAGTAGAAGCTTCTTTATTACACACACAACAAGCCGAATACTACTAGAGCAAAGCTTCGAAATTAGAGAAGCACCAACAAAAATGCAGCAAATGCAAAGGAATGTTACCAAATTGAAGTATGCCAAATTTAATAGGCAAACATAGAAAAAAATTAGCGCAAAAACGAAACACTACAACTCTGGTATAAAGTCGCAACAGAAGCCACAAAAATGCAAAAGCGTTATAGCATTACTGTAAAACACGAGCAGCAGGACGCCGAACTACCAAAAATTTTGTGCAGGCAAAACTTATGCAGCTCTATTGACTGGGAGCCACTCGTCGTAGATAAAATTTGTAAATTTGTGTAGTGGCGAGCCGACGGCAGTCGACAAACAAGTGTGTATGTGTGTTATGCACGCAACCCGGAACAAGGAATTTCAAGTATTCGAATTTCAGTCGAAATAATGGAAAAACAGTTTTTAGATTTATTTGTTTTGATTTTTTTGTTGCATTTGCGGCTTGCTCGCGCTGCGTTTGCTAAATTCAGTGGGGAATTTTAATTTTTTCGCCCATTTTTCTATATACGCACACACAAAGTCGCATGTAAATCTCCTTGTTGATTTGTTTTGCACAGCACTCTGCTCTATTAAGTCCGCAAACGCGGATTGTTTTCCCAAGCTTGCGGTGCAAAAGGAATGCAAAGCTGTGTTTATATATTTTTTTGACGAGTTATTATTCTTTGCATTTCAATTTCCTACTTTATTTTTTTTAGTTATTTATTTTGTTCTTTACTTTTTCTTGTTTTGAATTTTGGTATTTTGTGGCGCAAAAATTTTGCTGGAAGCGTGGCATTAAGTGAAATAGAAAAGGGTGAAACAAGCATGAATTGTGTTAGTAGCGTGCAGTGCATTGCAATTGTTGTGGGATTTTTGTTGTATAAATACAGAAGAATTGCTGGTTTTCAGTGTTGTTTTAGAGGTGTGTATTTTATTTGATTTGAAATGTAATCGTTGTTCAAAAGCAGCTTTTGCTACAAATTTGAGTTTATTTTGAAAGTATTTGCGAATTTTGGTTACTTATACGCAATGCTGTACCAATTAAATAGGGTTTTGGTTAAAAATGTTATATTTACTTTATTATATTTTATAAATGATATTTTTTTTAGTGATTTTGTGTTTGCTAATAGTTAGTTACAGGTTTTAAATAACTTTTCCTCCACGGAAAAACCTTAACGGTTTGCATGTCTGATATATATTAAATAATCTACTTGTATTACTTCTTCTGCTCATTTAGAGAAAATTCAAATTCGCTTTTTCAATTGCAGTTATCAAACAAATCGGTTATACAGTACGGAGCAAACGGATTTGGAAGAATTCCTACAAGTGTTTAGTGCTTATTAGTAACCTCAGAAACCACCCAAAAATTTAGCGTTGAAATATTTAAAGTAATATTTTGTAAAAATGTTAGCACATTTAGTCCAACGATAATTGGCTTTTATCGGAAAATTTACCAAACTACACTGAAAGAAATAGTCAACAAATTAAATTTTATAAAAAAAAATATGTTTCTAAGGTTTTAAAATAATATGCTGCTCTATTGTAGTATTTCTTGTAATGCAGGTAAGGTTAGATTAGCTTAAGAGGTCGATCCTAATAAGGCTCTTAAAAGTGTACCAACAAGACCGAAGTGATATCAAAATGAAATAAAACACCCAAATTTGGTCAAAATGGGTTCTTCTGGGTTTTTTGTTATGCAGATAATTTTATGTCATTTATGATTTGAACGAAATGGCGGACAAATGGTCACCACGGTTCCATTTGATATCTACACCTCTTTACGCCAATTTTCGATGACCCAGTGCAGCATTTCTGCTATAGTGGGCTGAATGTTGTCTTCGACTTCTTCGAGCGTTGTTAGTTGATTAACATAACCCAAATAAAATAATCTAGAGGCCTTAAGTCCCATGATCTAGGCGGCCATTTGACCAGTCGCTAAACTTTGCACGAAATGTGTCCATGTTTAAACGTGAAACATGAAGCAGCGCACCATCTTATTGCAATTATAGACCGTTCGCGTCGATTTCATCAAGATCCGGAAATAATATCGATCAACATCGTGTTATAATGCTCGCTTTCGATGGTTTCGAAAGAAGTTAGGCCCGATAATGCGCCATACCACAATTCGCACCAAGTAGTAGCTTTTTGGGGATGCAATCGCATTTCCTGGAACACAGGAGGATTTGACTCACCCCAATAGTGACAATTTTGTTCGTTAACGAAGCCATTCAACCAGAAATGGGCCTCATCTGAGAAGATGATTTTTCGGATATCCGGATTTTCCGGGGAACGTGAGTTTGCGTAATAATCATGGACATTTTCCATGTGTTGTACCAAAGTGAAACGTAACATGATGAAATGGCACAGATCCGTAAATAAACTTACCATACCATACTGTAAAACATTTTTAAAATGCACTAAATTTTTGAAAAACTTTCACTTTTGTAAATTATTTTGCTTTCTGTTCATACTTAATTCTTTCCTTTTCTTAAAAAACATAGATGGTTCTTAAAGTCTGTAAGCAATTTACTAATATTACAACTGCATAGTCAAAATTGTTAACATGTTCCTAACCTCAAAAGTAGTATTTAATTATTGTTAAGCTGTTCTAAAGATTATAAGATACATTCGTTATCGTAATATTTATTAATATAAATATAATGACTGCTTGAAAATCATTGTGTTACATTTCGAATACATATATCTTTGTGTTATAAAACCTTACAGCTTAGACTATCAAATATATCTTCTTGTTAAATCCTTTGTTCATTTGTCTAA